ATTATTTATCCTAATTAATTTTACTAATTGTTTATTATATCAATTTTAAATTTTCGAAATTTTCTTAATCAAAAGTGATTTTTTTTTAAAATATTCGAAAATAAATAAATTTCTTATAATTATTAATAATTAATTCCTAACTAAGAATTGTAAAATTTAAAATTTTCTAAAAAATTTTACCCTTTTCAATGATGCAATCTGGAGTGTGTTTACATGGTGGATTTGAACAGTTGTTCTCAGGTCTTCGTAAGAAGCATTCATATTCTGATTGACAACCAAGAGTACGACATTTTCCAAACCAAATTTGCATTTCTGTGAAAAAATATTTATATAAAATACTTAAACGATAATACGTGTTACAATTGTTAAAGGCGGTACCTTTATTTTTGATGCAGCTTCTTAACAATTTGCAAGGAGGTTCAGCGCAAAACGACTCTCTCAAGACACAGTGGGTTCCTTGAGGACACTTGAATCCGGCACAAGAAGGTGGTCCCTCGTGATATTCTTTTAGAGACACGCATCTTACTATCTGTTGCTCACATCCTAATTGATATTAAATTCAATACTTATTCATAATTCATTTTTCTAATTTGTAATATAATTTATTATAACGTGAATGAATCTTTTTATTTTTATTTGACATAAAATATTTTTTTCAGAAACTTGACTTGATCAGTTTGACTTTTCATCTTGGTTTTTTTATCAAAGTACTTTCAACTTATATGAAATATGAAAATATGTACGAACTCACTTTCATCCCAACGACAACGGCGGACTTTCATCATGCATGTGTATCCATTGGTGCAGTATACAGCATCACAGCTAGAAGGACCCTTCAAAGATTCTCAAAAGACACGAATGCGCATAAAAATAAAGAATAGAAACTTGCATATGAGAAATCTTTTACATTAATTTAATAATTTATCTACAATATGCAAAGAATAAAATTTCCATTAACTTAACTTATTTATACATAAAATTATATTTGTTTAATAATATTTTATTATACTTTCTTATTTAGATTAAAAAAAAAAAATAATTTTTCAATAATTGCGAATCTTGAAGAGACAAAATTTCTATTTCTATTATATTAAATATTTCTATTTAAAAAAGAGAAATGATTCTCATTCAAAGGCGTACAAAAACAAAATTTCCATTACTTCTAAAAAAAAAAAAAAAACTTGAAGTAAAGTAAGAACAATAAAAAATTATAAAATTCCTTAAATTCATTTATTTTCTTAACACGATTAATATCCAAATATTAAATCCATATTTCTTTCATATTTCAGATTCCCTTGAAAGGATATCTCTTAGAGCACCTCGTAATACAGGTTCCAGAGGGATGCATATCATCCAGGAATTTCATTTCTCCTTTACATCGAATAATCCAAAATCTACCGCATCCCTGTACAAAGGGATCAAACATCTCGACGCGAGACAATGAATTTACAACTTAAACAACTGTTTCAGATCCATTTACAAAATTGCATCCACCGTTAATCGTTCTTTGTGCGCCTCGCTCTGCGCCTTTAATTAAATTTCATCGACTAAGATGTCGTTGTCGAGACGCTTACCTGTGCGAGATTTCGAGCAGTAGAGCATAGTGGGACAAGGTGGATTTTTGCATCGAAATTTTCTATGTACGCAGTGCTCGTCCTCCTCGCAGTGCAGGTATGGGCATCCTCGATGAACAGGTGCCTGGATCAATTCTGTGTATAGAAGATTATTAGTCACAATTCGAAACTTGTTAATCTTTGGGAGAATATTTTGGAAAATTGAATTTTCGTGTGTTAAAAAAAATGTCATATTTTTTTAAAATTTCGTTGATTTTTAAAAGGATAAATTTTGGGAAATTAAATTTACATGTGTAAATATAGAGTATAAAATGGATTGAAAATTTATTAATCAGTTGCCTTACGTTTCTGATATCTGGTATAATGTTTTATGAAAGTAGAATATTTAGTAAAACAATAAGAAGATATAAAAGAATAGATAAGAAGATATTTTAATAATTATTTTTGAATTACTTTTAATAATGAAGAATATCATTATGCATGGAAAGTTTTCATTTTGTTTATTTCTAATTTTTTTTATGTAGAGTGGAAATTTAAAAAATTTAAAAAAAAATTAGAGAACCGAATGAACTCACCTTTTCCGAAAAAAGCCTGAAGATGAACAGCCATGATCAATAGCAAGAGAGAAAACAGTGTGAAGTATGTGAATTCGATATACTTTGGTTCCATAATGATTGGAACATGATATCGTACGTCGTTCGATGGCGACTGCACCTGAATCAAAGCAACCGAAGCAATTGATATGGATAAATTGTGTTTCGATTTAACCTGAGTAACTGGAAACTGAAGAGAACAATCGGTCAGAAGCTTACTCACTCGATGCACTATAATAGCTATTCATCATCTATTTACAAAGATTATATAACGAATAAAAAATTGGAGACAAATATTTTTATAAATTAAAATAATTTGATATAAATTAATTTTCAAGTTTAAAAAAAGACTAATAAATTAATCTAAACTTGAATTATATTACTGAAAAATAAGCAAAATCAGAAAATGACTAATGTTGAAAATTGTCAGTATTGATATATATATATATATATATATA